AATTAAAAAACATATGACTAAGATAGTATTTATAAAAACTGCTTATCAATCATCCCGGATATATAATATAGTATACGCCGGAAGATTAGCAGAAATGAAATTGAAATAGAGAAACAAGTGTTTTTTCACAGATTCATATGCAGAATGTTTCTTTGTATGTATATACAAATACACAGATACATATAAATTATCTTCCCTTAATAACTGCAATAAAAGTTTGACCATGCTTCAAGGCCTTTATAAGTTGATACAATCATCAAATTCGCTAAATCCTTTACTTTTTTGTTGCAAATGTTAAATATTAAAATTGACGTACTTAGGGTCATACAATAATGATTGTAAAATGCTTCCTTACCTAACTTTTTTGGTGACATTTTTTTTTTGTTTTATATAATAATATTAAATCAGTAATTATTAATAATTATCAAGAAAGAAATGTGTTTAATCATAGAAAAGAGGTTAATTGTAGAAAAGATGTTTATCATAGAAAAGTCTATAAAAAAGCTATTAGATGTGCAAGAAGCAAAATATTATGCACACTGCAATGCACAGTGAACCAGAGGTGAGCAAAACTCCTCAAAACCACTTTCTAAATTGTACAGTGCGCCAGAAATTTTTTTTCCGTGGCCAAAAGTCCCAAAAAAGTTAAATCTTCTAAACTTTTTTTTTATTTTATTATTGAAACATAAGTGCTTTACTCTACTCAAAAATGTATCCGTTTTGTTACTAGGTATGAAGGCAAGCTTGCTAGAACCATTTATAATGGCTTTGAAACTGTTGAATTTTTGAATAATTTTTTTTTCAAAAATACTTATCCTCAAAATTTACATAACTTTTTTCAATTAAAAAAGCTTTGAACTTTTTTTATTTTAAGTAAACATATTAACTTAGTGCTAATAAAAGTAAATGTTTTAGTTATATATTTGTATTTAATTTATTCATAATATGTCTTAGACTTGTTGGTATTTTAAAGGCGTTTTTCTAAAGTTCCTTGTCTTCTTTTTTTCTAAATGCCACTCGAAGATTGTTTAATTTTCTAATTTTTGCATTTACTAAACGCCAGTTATTGTTCAAAAAAAAACCCAGCTGTGACTATGTATTCTTTATAATATATATTTTAGTTCAAAATCAACAACTTTTTTTGCTCTTATAAAGAGACCTATTTAAAGTTAAGATATTTGTTTAAGGAATATAGATTTTTTTTTTAATTTCATTAAACACATCGAACCATTTTTATTTAAAATAAACTTTTTTTTATTATTTTAATGTTTTCTAAACAGGAAAAAAAAATCATTTCATTATAAATTCGTAAAAATCAAATATTTAAGTATTCGATTTTAACCAAATGCCGCTCTCTTGAAATTGGAATTAATGATGTTTGGAAGTATAACGTTGCTTAATACTATTAAATTAAATCAGTTGCGACTAGCTATAACTTAGACTTCAAATCGATTTTGAAATTTCAAGATTTTAGGCTAATTTAATTCTTATTTTACAATGCATTGTGACGTAAAAAAAATTATTTGTCTGGAAATTGGAAGTTTATATGATATGGAAGGTAAACCGGTGTTTAAATTTTTTTATTTCATTTATGTTTATTGGTTTTAGTTCCTCATTTCTATCATCAAAATCATCATCCTCATCCAACTCATTATGTTCTTCATCTGCATAAATATCATCATTTGTATTTTTCTTTTCAGTTTCTTAAAAAAGAAGATCAACTGCGTTTCCATCTAGATTCTTTTTTTTATGTTTACACCCTGATCTTGCATAGTTTAGAGATGGAAGAATTGGGTCTCTTGAAAGCATTAAATAATTGAATTGGTCCGTCATTGTAGCTTTTCGATCAAATTTACGAGTGTGCTGTAAACAAATATTTTTATTATCTTTATTCTGAGCTTTGATTGCTTCTTCAGAGTACATTCCAATTGGTAGCATAAATCTAGATATTGTCAGACTACTAAGAATGAGTAGTTTGTGTACTGCCACGGAAAAAAACTTCTGGCCCACTGTGTATTGATGTAATTTCATTTTGTATATGTAATCTAGAGAGACTCTAAAACTGATATAATTTTTTCCCTTTTTTCCTGATTTTGAGCTCAGTATGTTTATTAATTTTAGCTCAGTTTATTCATTTTACCACAAAAGTGGTAATGTTTTATTCTTCAATTATTGGTAAAAATGTAAAAAATCATATACAACTTCGATATGAGGCCAGCAAAAAAAATTTAAAACATTTTAATTTTTTAACGGTTTATATTCATTGACATCATATATAAGAAGAAGAAATTTGAACATTTATTTTTTAGGCTCGCTTTTTTTCGAAGTGTTTTTTAATTAAACCCTTTAAAATGCACAATAATACAGCCTAGTATTATTATGCTTGTGTAAAGGTAAGTGGTAAAAACACTTACCTTTACACAAGCATAATACTAGGCTGCACATTTTATCTATTTTAATTTACACTCATATAGAGAAAAAAACTTTACAACCGAATTTTCTGACCTCAACTGAATGCAGAAGGCGCTAGGCTTTTTATTATAAATGATATCCAATCGTAGATTTCACTTTTAGAAACTGATGATGCATAAAGAACGGTTTTTAAATTTTTAAGCATTTAAATCTTGTTAAATTTATTATATAAGATTTTAACAAGATATAAATGAAATTTATAATATATATTTTTGACACTATTAATGTTAATGTGGAAAGTTATAAAACACTCTATGACAACCATGTGATTTTAGTTTAACAGTTTTTTATTAGTTTTTATTTTTGTTATGTTTAAGCGGTTTTTAATGTACAATTTTGTGGATTATACTGTGTTAATTTTATGTGAACATGTGAACATAAAAAAGATGATTTATGGAAGAAAATTTTTTGTATTTATGTATACAAAAGGTTTTTTTTTATGTTAGAAAAGGAATTTAGTTTAGTAAATCAGTTTATCAGTTTGTTTACAACAAAAAAGGATTTTTAATTTCTCGCTGTGTTGCAAGTAAGAAAGCTTCTATCACTTTTAGTTTCACTATCATCTAAATAACTGTTTTAAAATGTTATTATATTATTTTTAATTTTTTTATTCATTTTCAGCTAAAAAATTGTACTTTAAATGAGTCAAATAAAAAATTGTACTTTAAAAGAGTCAAATAAAAAATTGTACTTAAATGAGCCAAATTATTTTTAAAAAATAGTCTTTTCATACATCCTACAATGTTTTAAACAACAGAGAACACTTCACAATGAAACAATAGAGAACACTTCACAATGAAACAACAGAGAACACTTCACAATGAAACAACAGAGAACACTTCACAATGAAACAACAGAGAACACTTCACAATGAAACAAGAGAGAACACTTCACAATGAAATTCTCCTCAAACAAACTATGATCTTATGATGAAAATGCTTTTCACCTATGATAATTAGGTGTTCAGAATAAGGAGGAGTCAGGGAAAAGTCAACCTGATGAGGCCAATCAACCTGAAGAGGCCAGCGGCTCTTGATGTACTAATGTATAATATATATGTCATATAAAAAGTTCAATTTTATTAAATGGTATATGTTTATATTCACGATATCAAGGAAATTAAGTACTTATAATAAATGAAAATCACAAAAATGCTGTCTTGACAACCCATGAACACACCTACCTGTGCAATCATAACCTCTCTTGGTGACCAAATATGGCTAGATTTAAATTTACCGTTTTTAACTACCTATAATTAGACAAACAACTGTTCCATTTTTATTAAAAAACCATTGGGACATCCCAGGACCATCCTTGAATACTCCTAAAATGGTTACCTGTGTGGTTATGACCACTCGCAGAGACTAAATATGCCCAGATTTGATATTCCTGATCTCAATAAACCTATATTTAGACATACAACATGTCCTATCTAATTAAAAAACATTGAGACATCTCAGGACCACCTTTTGACCACCCTAATAATGACCATTTACGAGCAACAGCGTAACGCAAAAAATATAAAAATTTGAAAATACACAAAAAAATTTATTTCAATTCATAACTGACTAGAATTTTGACTAGATGTTTATTCATGACTAAGGTTAAAATTATTCAATGTGGCCACCATTGGCATCATAAGCAAGTTCGATACGCCGCTGCAAGGATCTGCATGAATTCTTGACATCTTCTTCTAGAACTTTGGCCCATGCTTTGCATATAGATTTTTTTAGTGACTCGGTACTCGCGAATCTTGCAAGCCTCCTTCTCCACGGCCGTTCACATAAAAAAGTTTAATGGGTTCAGATCTAGACTAGATGGGGGCCACTTTAATTTGTCCCAGTATAGACTCATGTTTTCACTGAGAAAATTTTGTGTCTTTTTTTAAGTATGAGCTAGTGCCCTATCCCGCTGAAACAAATACTGGCCATCTGGATAGTATCTGTTTAACCAGGGAATGACTTTCTCTTGTAGGAGGTGTATATACTTATCACTGTCAATTTTTTGACCTTTTTTCATAAAAACTGGTGTACACTTTTTTCCATTACTTGCTATCACGTCAAGTAATATAAATATTTAAATAATAAATATTCAAATCCTTAAATTATGATATTAAGTCATTGTTCCTAAAATGCCTAATATCCCAAATCTAAATTTGGGATATTAGGCATTTTAGGAACAATGACTTAATATTTTTAACAAAATTTTATTATAGTTCTTTATTATTAATTGTTAATATAATTTATTAATTTATATAATTAATAAAATTTTTTTGTTTATTTACTACTTTTCTTTATATATATATATATATATATATATATATATATATATATATATATATATATATATATATATATATATATATATATATATATATATATATATATATATATATATATATATATATATATATATATATATATATATATATATATATATATATATATGTATACATATATATATATACATATATATATTTACTTTTAATAAACTAATTTAAAAGTAATTTTTTTACCTAAATATTTTAGGTGGTAACTTGGAGTGTGATGGAGCAAAACCACTTGACCAATTGCAGGAAGTCCTGTGTCTACCTTTATTGCATAGTAAAATAAACAGTTTATATAAAAAAGGAACTGATAAGATTAGGGTTTTTAATGCTAATGATGCGACTATAGATTTAGGTGTCAAAGACCTCAAAGAAGCAATTCAAGAACTAACAAAAAATCCAAACGTTTTAAAAGATGAAAAGATGGCAGAAATATTATTTAATTCGTTTATATTCATAGGAGATATTTATACATCAACTAATTGTTCAAAGTTTCAGGGAAATATTTATATTGATAAAACAGCTAAAAAATATGAAGAAGCCATTAATGCATACGAAAATGGTTTTGAGTACAGCGAAAATTTGCATAATGACTTTGAATATGGCCGGTTTTTACATAAGTTAGTTACTATATTAAATAAACCTGAAGAATTTGGTTACAATGCTGTTCTCAGAGACCAATTAAAGTATGATGCATACTTTTCAAAATATAAATCTTCGATCCGTGATTTTTATGAAGAAGGAATGAGATGTCTTCGAAAGTGTGATTTTATTAATGCTGTTTATTTTTTTGAAAAAGAAATAAAAAATCCTAAAACTTTAGCAACTCAAGGAAGCTCTTTTATTCATGTTGCAATGGCATTGCAATTTGCGTGCGAGAAAACAAATGAAATCTTTCAGAAAGCAGTAAGCTATTACAACGAAGCTATTGATATTTTTATCAACAAAGGTGTAACTGATGTAGCTGGTGAGGTCACTGGCTGCCTCTATTATTTATATAAACTGTTATCTAACCCAGCGAGTTACGGATTTGATAAAAATTTAAAAGATGAGTTTGGAGCTGAAGAAACTAATTGCCTGAAAGAAAAATATATTAATGATAATGTTTTTCGCCTTTTAATTCAAGCCAAAATATACGCGTGTGAAAAGTTTCCTTGGATAAGCGACAAAACAGATTTAGATACTGATAAAGTTTTAGAATATTGTAAAAGAGCATTAAACGCAAGTCATGTTAACCTTAAAATTAAAACAAAAATTTATTTTTTAATGGCGTACACTTACAGCTCTCTGATGATCGTGAAAAATTTGGACGTCTACCTTAATGCCATTAAGAGCTGTCAAAAAGCACTAAAAACTTTTAAAACTGGCCACCACCGTAAAGATCAAGAGTATGCAGAATGTGTTGTGACGCTTTCTATAACACTTGCTTACTTTCCTAAGAACAAAGGATTCCAAAATTTAACTCCAGATAATACTAAGCCTCTTAGAGATCTTTTAGAACGAATTGATATATCAAAAGATTATAAAATTAATAATTTTAAAGAAATGATGGATTATCAATATCTTCATTTTCATGTTTCTGACCCCTCGATACAGAAAAGAATAAATGCTCTTTACAATGTAGAAATAGTTCTCAAAAATGAACCTAAATGTAAAGACTATAAAAATAGTTTTTTAGAAGAGAAAGAAATTGTTGTATCAACAGCAGCTAAATTAAAGGAGATTGAAAAAAGTCACCATTTGTATTATTATTATTCTGCCTTTCAGAAAACCTTTAGCAAAAGTTTTATTTCGGCTAATTGTGTGAGCAGTGGTCTACTTGCTTTACATACAGAAACCGGAATTTTAAAAACAACTTCGTTTGTAATTAATTTAATTCCTTTCTTTGGTAATTTCTTCGCAACTTCTTTGAATGAACTAGTTCAATATTTAAAATCCGTTGAAATGGAAAATTCTGCTAAACATTTATTAAGTCTTGCTTCTCACGTCGGTGAATTTGAGACAATGGTACAAGATATAATTGTCGAAATAATTTTCGATAATAAGGAAAAGTTTCTATTAAAATCATTTGATCTAAAAGCGAAAGCATGGTACGAAAAGGTTAATAACTTTTGTAAAAATGTGCTTGAAAATACTGACGAAGCAATTTATGTCCAAGAATTTCCACATGATATGCATAAATTGGGACATAGAGACGCTGTAAAAGTAATAAAAAAATGGATTTCAAATGGAAATATATTTAATGGAAAACGTGGCGCTGAACTGCTACCAATTGAGAAAAAAAAACTTTTAAAAGATGCCGTATGCAATGAAGCCATAAATTGTCAACAATCGAAACAATTCTGCTAGGAAGTTTTATGTCACTACAATATTTTTTTACATCTTTCCAAAATATAGCTTTTCATAGCTTTAAATATATTTTGAAAGTTTAGTATAACTTAAGTAGACATTTAACATGACAAACTTACAATGGTCATGACTATGTTTGTTAAAATAAGTTTAATTGATTTGCTCTCGCATCCTACAATTTGTTTAAACCTTTTTTTTTACAATTTTTGTATTCAATTTGTTAAGTATGTTGTTTTTTTAGTAAATCACTTCTGTGATTTACTAAAAAACAAAGTCACAACATATACTTGTTTTATAGTTTTCTTTTTTGAATGTTAAGCGTTTTTTACGCAATAAATTCTTTTGAAATGTTACTTTATTTTTATATGACTTTCTATGTTTCTATATGCCTTTCTATATGACTTTCTATGTTTCTATTTGACTTTAAAATAAAGCGAAATATTATTTTGTTTTGTTTTTTTCTAATTAAAAATGTTTTTGAACGTTTGTTAAATTTTTAAACAAATTAGTCAAATGCTTTTTAAATTTTATTAAAAAGAAATAACGAAAACTGTATAAAATAGTCTTTTATATTGGCAATTTAAGTAGGGAGAAACTTTCTGTAAGAAACAAACAGGACTTTTGAATTGAAAGGACCTAAAAATTGTTGTTTATTTTATTTATTTTTTTATATATTATTTTTTTTAGTATGTTGATGCTATTCATACTAGAAAGTTTATAACAAAAAAATATTTATGGTTCTCTAGGTATTTTAAAATATTTATGGTTCTCTAGGTATTTTAATATTTTTTTTATTAAAATAAATTTGAAGAGCGCCTTTCTGTAAAAATCAACGTACTCTCGAGTCCTTAATACAAGGAGTGGGATGAATAAAAGGAAAGGAGTAGGGGAATTTTAGTCCAGGCTCAACATAGAAAGCTTTATTCAAATTTTTTGTTTAAAAGTATTCATTGGTTTTCTAGAAATTGAATTTCAAAATTAGAATAATTTTTAGCAATGTTGACCAAATGTATTGGAATTTTAAACTTGAAAATAAAACAAAGTACAGTGAACGCTCTACATAAGCAACCTCTCTATAAGCAACATTCTTTATAAGCAACATCTATACAAGCAATATTTTTTAGTTCCACTGTTCTGTATATGCAACTTATTTTTTTAAATTTAAATATTAGTAAAATCTGTTCACAACAACATAACCTCATAATTATAAAAATTCTGTCATTAGAATATGTTTATGTTTTTTGGTATTATTGAAGTGAATTTCTGTAAAATAGAAAGAAAAATTTCTGTTAGAAATATAAAAATAAAAATAGAATTTGTTACTTAAAATTTGTTAGTTTTTGTTGATTAATAAATTAATCTCAACCTCAAAATTGTAAAAAATTAACCTCAAATTATAAAAAAATAACCTTAAACTGTTAAAAGTTCTGTTATTGGAATATGTTTATATTTTGTGCTGCCAGTATTGGCAGCACAATTTATTCTATTTAACAGAATTTTTGTTAAATAGAATAGTTACATAATCTCTCTTAGTTTCTGCTAGATAATAAATAAATTAATATTTTTGTGCTTTAAATTCAGTCAAAAAATTTGAATCATAAAAAAAAACGGTGTTAATTTTGTAAAAAGATAAACTACCCATTTTAAAGGACATTCAAAGTGGTGAGAAAACAAAGGACATTTGTAAAGATTATTAAGCTGCTAATTTTATTATAAGTAGAGTAAAAGAAAATAAAGAAAATTTAGAAGAACATACAACCAAAACGTATGTGAATCAAAATAAAATTATGCAAATGAAGACAATAAATTACAATGAAATCGACGATACAGTGTTTTTTTTGTTTTGTTTTGTTTCTTTGAGCGGCAGCAATAAAACAATTTAATTCCAAATAAAATGATAGATTTAAAAGCACTAAAAGTAAATAGATATGACAGAAACTAAACACGATTTGATAGAAAAAATTAACCAAGAGAGAAAAAAATATTACATAAGGGGACTTAAATTTGGACTGTTTTGAATATAATAAAATTCAAAACATAAAAAAATTTTACAACGACTTATTTAAAAGTTGCTGTAAGCTAGCTGTAAGCTGTAAGCTAGCTGTAAGCTTTTCAGCTCTTTGGGGTAAATTAGCCTTTATTTTTAATTTACTCTGTAGTGATTTTGCTTGGTTTTTGTTCCATTGTGTTTCTTTACTTTCCAAAGTCTTTTTATGAAACTGAAAAGTTTAGCTTGTTCTTTTTTAATTTCTGTTTGTTTCATTTTGTTTTTTCTTTATTCTAGGGAAAGTCAGACTAATTTGCAAGTTTTTGTTTTTTTTGTGTGTGTGAAAGACAAAAAATATAATAATAATAAAAAAGGTTAGGGAACGGTTTTTTTCTGATATTTTTTTAATCAAACACCCTAATGTTTTCTAATAAAAATGTTGCATTTTACCAAAATTAACCCTAACCCTAACCCTAACCCTAGCAAAAAGCAACCCGTAATACGGGTTTTGGTCGGTCTGTTACATAACTAATTTATAGTGGCTGTTTTCCACAATTTAATGCTGCAAAACTTTAACTAATACCCTTTTAGAAAATCGCCTTCAGCTTGAAAAAATTAATGCATCTGTAAAATTAACTTAAAAAGTATGAGGAGGTAAAATAATTAGCAAACTACTACTTAACATTTACAATTACTACTTAACATTATTTGAGTAATTAACAAATGGCATAGCTCATAACAGTGTAAGGCAGAACCATTTTCATCGACCTTCCTAAGTTTAACACAATATGTTTTTAGTTACTGACACAAAATAATAACACTTCGTCATGCTTTAAATTGACGAAAGTACCAACGAAATCCTTGTAAAAATTTTTATAACACGAACCATTAAGATTAAAATAAAGTTAAAAAGAATAAATTATATTATACAGGAGTTATCAATTTTTTGGTATCCCCTTGATTATTTTTTCTTTAAAAAAGAAAATTGTTACCTTAAAAATGTTTAATGACAAACATGGGTATAATAAATTTGAAAAAATATGTAAACTTAATGCATTAATGCATCATATGACAAACCTAAAATAAAAATTATAACAGATAAACCAAGCTGACCCGACCCGGGTCTTGTTAAGTCTGTTCAATACAGACCATTTCTATATTATTTGTTTGGCCTCTTTATTTCATTAATTTTTAGTAAACGGTATTTTGCCACCATTTACTAAAAATTCCTTTGTAACTCGAAATTTAATTTTCTTAAATATTTTGACTCTAATAAAGAAGTTCCTCCCCTCTTTTTGCTTTAATGGTACCAGGTGAATAAAATAAAATAATAAAATGTAAAACAATGATCTACATACATAAGAATGTTTTCTTTCTTCCCTCAAAAGTGTTGCAAATACAGACTAAGCTAACTAATTAGTTAAACACATAAATATAACCTGAGTAACTCGATATTAAAGCGCAAAACTACAATATTCTCCATGTTTTTAAAGGTTTTTAGTTACGACCCCCCATTTACAAAGATCCCCTTAAAATACGTTCAACAAACTATTAGGCATAAAATAGATAAAATATAAAATTAACTAATAGCATATATTTATATCTTTTTAATTAAGAAAAATTTACAATAAAAAGAAATCAGGTTTTTTTATTTTATAAATCTTATAAATGCGTCATAACGTAATTCTAAAAAAAAAGGTAATGAAATTATGATATCATAATTACAAAGAAGAACAAAAACAAAAACCACTACACAATTACCGAAAATCGATTTACCTATTTATAGTAACCTATTTTAAAATTGCAGTTAAAGATTTATCGAAAATGTAATTATAAAATCTGTTTCGAAGTACAAAAGCATTAACAATACTAAAAAAAAAATCAAACTAAGATATAAATTGTTGTCTTGGCTTTTATAGTTTAAACATATATACAACTGTAAACAAATATGACTTTATAACACATATAAACACATTTTACAACTATTGAATGATAGATATATTTATCAAAAACTATGAAAAAAAAAAAAAATAATGATAAATAAAGTTATATATACAAAATGTGCTCACAACCTTTAACAGTAAATTTTCGAAATGAAAATCTCAAGACTATAAATTAAGAACATTAAAAAAAATAACAATATTTATGTTACATTTTTTTACCTACTATAACTTGAATCAGTTGTTTATCAATTTTGAAAATAAACTATTAAATGCTCTAGTTCTTGAAAATGCAACATAGTTAACCATGAGAGAAACACGGTTTTTGAGATATTTCTTTTGTCTATATTTTTAATTTCGCGTTATAAAGAGAGAATAGATTAAACTCATGTAATTACTGAGCTCTTGCGTATTTTTTAATACTGCGATTGATAATTTGCTATCTAAAGATATAATTCTTAAAATTGTCCCTTGGTTGTTAATTTAATTTTAATTTTAAGAATTATATCTTTAGATAGCTAATTATCAATCACAGTATTAAAAAATACGCAAGAGCTCAGTAATTACATGAGTTTAATCTATTCTCTCTCTATACTAATTCTTATTTAAGTCTTATCTAAGAGAGAGAGGAAGTGTTTTAAAAACAGCACGTTAGAAAAAGTAAAAAAGTCATGCAATAAATAACAGTAACTGGTTTTATTATGCTACCAATAAACAAAATTATACTTACCTTAACTAAAAGTTAATTTCCAGCATTTCTTAATTAAGTTCCAGCTTCCCTTTAACAGTTGACAAATGAATATTGTAAATTTCACATCATATTAAATTTACAAAATTAAAACCATGTTTCAACAGTAAGCAAAATAATCAAGTGATGACAAAGACAACTAAAAAAAAATGAACACAATTATGTTTAAGATTACAATTAAAAAAAAAAAAAATCATTAAAAAGTGAAACTGTTATTACTTGTAACTATAAATAGTAAAATTCATACATTAAAATTAAAATATTAAAAATAGTAAAAATTCATACTTTAAAATTAAAATATTAAAAATAGTAAAATTCATACTTTAAAATTAAAATATTAAAAATAGTAAAATTCATACTTTAAAATTTAAATATTAAAGTGTCTAATGTAAAATCAAACAATAGACATCCACACTGCTTGACACTAAATTCTGGCAAAAAAGTTTTCTGTTTATCAAGCAAAATTTCTTATATTTCAACGACAATTAATTTTATCACGCCTAGATCTATTTCTTTCATATGACAACAATTTTAAGTCACCTATAACCATTTACACTAATAACTTCATCGAGCCTAATATTATACATCTGTTATAATTAAATATATTACCAGTGATTATACCACTGTTACAACTGAATAAATGAACGCTTTATATTTTTACAACTGAAAAATATAAAATAAAATTTTTGACATTATTTTAATTTAGCAAAGAGTTTAGACTACAATGCAAAGTTATTTTTACCTTCAGGCACAATCTTAATGCACAAAAATAATAAATGCTGAATCTTGTATAAAAAATGAAAAATGTTTATATATTCAAATTTTTTTTATTCTTTTTAATTTTTTCTATGAGATAATATTTATATATATTCAGAGAAATATAAAATATTCTGATATATAGGCACATTTATGTATATAAACTTACCTGTCAAAAATTACAGTCAGTTTTTCATGTTAAATACATAAAATATACATCTAATATAAAATAAAACAAAACATTAAACTTACTCAAATCATTAACATTTAGCTGTTTCCAATTGCACTAAAAAATAAAAAAAATCTTGCTTTGCTAAGTTGCCTAGTTCTTAAGAATCTGAAAACAAATAAGTAAAAAACCAAGAACAAACAAACATTTTTTTATTAAAACTACTCTATTTAAACAAATTAAATTAAACAGAGAACAACATTAATTCTCTTTAAAAGCTGAAAAACTTTTCATTTTAAATTTGCTTGCAGACCTTGCTTATAAAACCACTTTAATAAGAAAAGCATCAAAAAAGCCTAGAAGCTACTTAAAAATGGTATATGTAACATTGAACTTTGAATGTTGACTGGAGTAGATATATATTTTTAAAAAATTCAAAATGATTTGTTCTTCTATAGCAAATAAAACCACTATAAATCTGAAATTAAAAATGTAACAAAATAGTAAATACAAAGTAAAACATCATATATGAATTGAAAATCAATGTACCTGATAGAGATCAGCTGTTGTGATACCTGAGAGTAGTAGTTGCTAAATATTGTTTTTTCATGATAAACAAAATGTATTTATAGCAAAATGGTCTTGAATGAATTTTAGTAAATAAATAAAAGCATCGAGTTCTAGTAATGAAACTACTTATTAATCATTTTTAACAGCTGACACCATTGTAAAGATAAGCCAAAAGTAACAACATTACGCAAAAAATTATTAAAGATAATGCAATGTGTTTTTAAAATAGTTATATTAAAGGCTAGGCAACACTTAGACCTAAAGTAGTAACATTGCTTGACTGGTAAGGTTGATAAATCTTGCTCTACACGTTTGCCAAGTAACTCCACTTTGAAATCATGAAAACAACATTATACAGACATATATACTAATTATAAAACACAATATATTTTTTTAATGTTACTTAGCATATAAAAACACCCCATTTAACAATCTTGCACAAATTAGATATAATACATTTCATACTATTATAAAAATACATTTATATAAACTCATTTATAAAACAACTATATAACATAAATCACATGTATTTATCAAAAAATTTTACACTTTGAGCATAATATACATGCAAACTTATATGCAATCTTTTAACAACTATAAAACAACATTTATTAGCATCAATTATTTTTAATCTAACAAAGAATGCAGACTACAATGTACAACATTGTTAATAAAAATGAAGTTATATCAGTCAGTATATATTATTCTAAAGCAATGAAAAAGAAGAAACCATTTAAGAACAAAATTAAAAATTTCTAATAAATACATATTTAGATACCTTAAAACGAAGCATAGAACAACACTTTTTTGACAAATTGCAGAAAAAATTTTCTTAACTTTCTATTCCTCATTATTTATCCTAAGAGAAAATATATATATAGATATAGAGAAATATAAAATAGACTGAAATAAATCGAAAATCTTAATTTATTTATGAGAAAATAACTTGAACTTGCTAAAAAAAGCGAACAGCTCCTCTTAACTGCTCTAAAAAATAAAACTAATACTGCTTAAAATGTTTTAAAAAAACTAACGACCAAACTGAAACAGTTTGGTCGTTAGTTTTTTAGTACAATGTTTCTTAAAAAAGAAACATTGTACTAAAAAAACTATTTTACCAGTCAATTTAGTTTTATTCTAAAAAATGAAAAATAAATACATATTTAGTTACCTTAGAATGAAGAATAACACAACACCCTTTTGACAAATTCCAGAAGAAATTCTTTTTATTTTTCTATTCTCAATTATTTTTGCTGAGAGAAAATACATATAGATATACATATATATATATATATATATATATATATATATATATATATATATATATATATATATATATATATATATATATATATATATATATATATATATATATATATATATATATATATATACATAACAAACTAACAATTATTTAAATTTTTATTTTAAAAAATAAACAACATTAATTCTTCTTAAAAATAAATTTATCAGCTCAAATTTGCTTGCTGATTTTACTCGAATGACCGCGTGGAATATATAACTGTGCTTAGAAAATTCTAGAAGCAAAGAAATAGTGTATTTTACATAATGCAGAACCGTAATTAACGAAACGAACAATAGGTGTAACAATGCGTAACTATGCACACTAATAATAATAATATTCATTCGGATATTCATTATAGGCGGATTAAATTGTAATAAAAAAAAAAATTAATTCAAAATTATTAAATTAATAAGTATCCTTGTAAATAACAACTTCTCTGGAAGTTGGGGGAGCACCATCTTCGCCAACAAATACAACTGCAACTTCATCATGTGAAGGTAGATTATAACGACGTCTATCACCACCTTCAAGTAAAGACATTTTTACAACAGAAGCTGAGCGACCTTCTATAGCCGCCTTACGAATTTCTTTATCTTCTACTTCAGCCATGTTTTTAAATGCAAGAGCAAATGGACTTTGTTCCATAATTATAGTTTGCAATTGAAACATTAAATCACGTAAACAAAGATCATCACCATAGTGTTGCATTCTAAAATTTAGTGCAGCAAGTGGATCATAAATATATAGTTGAGAATATATTTGTGGAATATCTTGATCTGGCCTAAGATTACCTACACGATGAAAAATCTGGCCACATATTTTAAAACATGGAAGCCCATGATTCATTGGTTGAACTACATTTGGTGTAAAAGAAGCAAAAGAAAGACAGGCATTATAATTTCGAATATGTTTTAAAAAATTAGCATTAGCATTACAATCTACATAACTCCCTGTAAACAAATCCTGTAAAGCTTGTGTAATTGGTGAAAGTGGAGGCGAAGCTACCTTACCATTATGGCAACATAGAAAATGTGTTTCATCTAGAAATTTCTTAGCACCAAAGTGCTGACAAATTTGATTCATTTCTCCTAAATAATTATAATCTGGAATAGCATTACTTCTCGCTATAGAATACATTCGTCCTTGTCCAACAGCTCTTCTTTCATTTTGGCGACGATTAATATTATCTCGATAGAGCCTATTTCTTTCATTTTGGCGATGATTAACATTATCTCGATCGAGCCTATTTCTTTCATTTTGGCGACGATTAACATTATCTCGATCGAGCCTATTTCTTTCATTTTGTAAACAATTAATTTCATCTCGCCTAAGTCTATTTCTTTCATTTCGTCTACGATTATTTTTAACACGCATTATACCACTTACATCATCTTGTAAAGACAAAACTACATCTAGCCTATCATCCATTTCAATGTCACCATTTTCATTAAACTTATTTATCAAAGCAACACTAATTATTTCTTTTTTTTTTTACTAATCTAAAGTTAACAATAAAATAAAAAAACTTAATAACTAAAAAAATCATACTAGAAAAATTAAAAAAAAAATTTTTCAAAACAAATATATATAAAGAAACCAAACAAATGCAAAATAAAATTAATTTGCCATCATCAAAAGTAATACAGGTTTCTTAAGTTTATTTGATAGAAGTTAAGAAAAACCTGCAACCACATCAGCAAAAACTTATTAAAACTTATTTTATTTCTAATAATAAAAAAAAAAATTGCGACAGCGTCATAGTTCATGCGTTGGGAGAAAACATTGAACAAAGCACGTAATAAAATTTGTTAATGCATTATTAATGCATTATTAATGCATTATGTACGATAGAAAACAGGTTATTAACGCGGGTTTATAAATTTTTTTCTCTTAACACACTATTATGCTGCCGCAACTCCAAGGATATATATAGTTATATATATATATATATATATATATATATATATATATATATATATATATATATATATATATATATATATATATATATATATATATATATATATATATATATATATATATATATATATATATATATATATATATATATATATATATATATATATATATATATATATATATATATATATATATATATATATATATAGAACTATTTATTAGTGAAAACATATGAAAACCAAAATTTTTTATATAATATATATAGTATATATTTGATAAATAAACCTCTACAATTTCTTTGGTTCAACAACTCGATAATGATTAATAACAACTCTGTAAACATGAATTTTCTAATAATTTAAATCTTAATAACAATTAACTACTTATTTAAACAAATAATTACTTATTAAATTTTAAAAAAAATTTATACATACGTAATGTCTACTTAGAAATACTTAATGTCTATTTATACATTAAAAAGATCTACAATTTTGAAAACCTGAAACTTTAAATCTACCTCAAAAAAAACAGATATATATTGAAAAGTATTTTTATTTCTTTTTAAAAATTTAAAAATGCTTTTTAACTTACTCCCTCTAATATTATTATATAATTTATAGTATATATTGATAAATAAACCTCTACAATTTCCTTGGTTTAACAACATTTTTATAAACTTGGTTTAAAAAAATTTCTAATAAATACATATTTAGATACCTTTAAATGAAGCATAACACAACACTCTTTTGACAAATTCCAGAAGAAATTTTCTTAACTTTTTTATTCCTTATTTTTTTTCCTTAGAGATTATTTATATGTAGATATAGAGAAATATAAAATAGACTGAAATAAATCGAAAACCTTAATTTATGTATGAGAAAATAACTTGAACTTACTAAAAAAGCGATCAGCTCCTCTTAACTGCTCTAAAAAATAAAACAAATACTGCTTAAAATGTTTTAAAAAGTAACTAACGACAAAACTGTTTTCTTAAAAAAGAAACATTGTACTAAAAAAGCTATTTTACCAGTCAATTTAGTTCTAACTTATTCTAAAAAATGAAAAATAAATACATATTTAGATACCTTAAAATGAAGAATAACACAACACCTTTTTGACAAATTCCAGAAGAAATTTTTTTTATTTTTCTATTCTCAATTATTTTTGCCTAGAGAAAATACATATATATATACATATATATATACATAGCAAACTAACAATTATTTAATTTTTTTTTTTTTTTAAATAAACAACATTAATTCTTCTTGAAAATAAATGTATCAGCTCCAATTTGATTGCTGATTTTACTCGAATGACCGCGTGGAATATATAACTGCGCTTAGAAAATTCTAGAGGCAAAGAAATAGTGTATTTTACATAATGGAGAACCGTAATTAACAAAACGAACAATAGGCGTAACAATGCGTAACTATGCGCACTAATAATATTCATAGGCTATTCATTATAGGCGGATAAGTTGTGATGATTTGAATAAATGATTTGTTATTCTTGTAGGTTTATTTATTAAAGGTATTGTTCCCGTTTTAAATATTTGAAACAAGAACAATACTTATTATAAACAAACCTACAAGAATAACAAATCATTCATCTTCCTTAATAGATAACATTTTAACCAATGAGTTCTTTTAACACGCTGCTTAAAAAAGGTATTGTTAAAACAGATGTCTTAGATCACTTTTCTATTTTTTTTTTTTTTTTTTTTTTTTTGTATAAATGCAAACTATAAATTAAATCTCCTGAGTAAAATAACTATAAAAAAGCATGTATACAGTAACAATAATTTAAAATCTTTTAAGGAACAAATTTCGAATCAAAACTGGAGCAATATTAACTTCAATGATGATATAAACCTGGTCTACAATTTTTTTAAAAAACATTTAAATTAATTTATGACTCAAACTTTCCTATTCGTGAAATAATCCTTAACACCAAGGACGTATCATGTCCTTGGATAACTTAAGGACTTAAAAAATCATCAAAAGTCAAACAAAAACTGAATATTAAATATCAAAAATATAAACCAGTCAATCATAAAAATAACTACTTAATTTATAAAAATTATTTTGAAAAACTCCGCAAAAATGCGAAAAAGAAATTACTACTCCGACTTGTTTGCAAAGCATAAACATAATTCAAAGCGTATTTGGCAACTAATAAAAGAGATCACAGGAAAAAATAAAAAAAGTACAATATTACCAAATGCAATAAAAATTAAAAACAAATTATTGAATGACCCTAATAAAATTGCTTTTAAATTTAATAATTTTTTTTTTTCAATCGGAACAAGCTTATCAAATAAAATTCCTTATTTTAATTACAAATAAATTAATGAGTTTATTACATCACCTAATTTAATTTTAAATTTTTTAAACCTAACAAATTTATATAGCGAAATTTAAAGCAGCTTTTAAATCATTAAAACGGATTAAGGCGATTGGGGCTGATTGCATCAATGGAAATATTATTATAGACTAGGGTTGTTAACCGGAGGATTTCGTGCAATTCCGGAAAAACAACATTCTTTCGTAAGGAGATTGAGAACACGGAATTACATTTTTTCGTACCGAATGTTACGAAACATTTAAAATCGCCGATGTTCATTTCGCAAAAGCCACTTCCGAAATTTAGCATTTCGCAAGTTGACATACGAAACAAAACTATTTTGCAACATACGAAAGTAGCGGTTTCGGAAGTCGCACTTGCGAAACAAACATTTTTGCCAAACGACGTTTTGAAGTCTATAAAGAAAATTTGTTTGCCAGACTGATTTTAATTGTAAAAATTAACATCTTTAAATCCCAAAATGTTTATAATGAATTTTTATTTTCAGTAAAATAACTTATTAAATTTTTACGGTTTTATTTTTAGAAATATTGATAAAAAAGAAAATTTCTTTCGAAACGAAAGTATTTCGGATCACAACATACGAAAGAATTCTTAACGGAAATAAACTTACGAAACGTGCCATAATAAATATATACAACGATGTTTTTTGAACTCATTACGTATATTAAAAATAAGAATGAT